CAGTTTGTTTACGAATCAACAGATTAGAATAAATTGTTTCTGTTCAATGTGGTTTTCCTCTCGAGAATCATGTCCGTAACGTGTTTGCGTTGTGTTCCGGTATAAAGAGTAATTCACGAAATTGGTCGTTCTGTGAGCTCGGATCTGTTTTGATGATCATAAATTTTCACTAATAATCAGGTAAACTCAAATTTCATATCAGAATTCAATTCAGGTGACCAAAGATGAAATATGGGATTTCACTGGGGAATAATACTAGTGAATGAACCAGATTTATTCATTTCTGGTATGCTTGCATTATTTTAATTTTCCCATCCCGATCAACATCATGCAATCATTCAATTCGACTTAGAATATCTCTTCCTTATGGTACTCGATTTCGGACTTTAGATAGATACTTATTTAGAAACTAGCCCCCCCCCCCCCGTACTGTGCCGCCACTACCATCACCTTCATCACCATCACCACGCAAATTAAGAATGAAAAAGTAAATAGTTCAATCCACTCGATTTGGTTGCTTCGACGATCGTTTGCATTGTACCGCGCTACGAGACATGTCCACCCTCTCACGCACTCATTCTATCGACAAAAGTGACCGACCCATCTGTGTTTTCACTTCAGATCATCAAACTGTTTTGTGTTGCTGTTTTTTTTTAAATCTTCGACACGTACGTAACATGACAGACCCGGGTTATCTAATCTGCATAAGCTTTATGTTCCATCTTATGTCTATCTATCTTTCTCCCTTTTTTTCTTATGCGTGTATTTTGATTTTTCTGACACGATTTTACCAAGTTTCCAACCGTGTTGAATGATGACAAGTGAAGGCGCCAGATCTGATGCACTTCAAAACGCAAAAATTCACAATCTGCCTTTCTCCAACACCACCGCCGTCCCCGGTATCCGCATCCTCGTCGATTTGATGGACCGAAGCACCTGTAAATTTCAATTTCATCGACAGAACACGTACTCGGACACTTGTTTCCCACACGTTTATGTCTAGACGTTACAAAAATCGACCCGGAGAGAATAGATAGATCTATTTGGTTTGAAATCAGGTCATTCGATCCCGAGCGTTGGGGGAACCGTAGCGATAATGACGAGTTTCTCGTGCAAATGAGAAAACCGTATTTCGGTGGGATTGGTTTTCTGATCCAGTCTGACCAATCTGATAGGAATAACTGACTGAGAGTGGGTAGCCTGTTTTAAACTCATTGTAAGCTGACACCAGTCTGGGGTAGGGCTGAATAGAGTGAACTATCTGTAACAAGGGTATTCAAGTTGGTTGTGCTTTTCATCAGTGGAGTGCAAGCTATCGTTTGCATTATAGGGATAGAACTTGCAAACGGGTATTCAAGAAGTCAATTTGGCAAACAAGCTCGTTTTCGGTGCGTCATTTACTAACCAAATACAGCACTCTTTCATCGGTCACGAAATCATATAATTCTGGGAAAGAGAAAATAACTTAAGTAATATTTGTGTTGGCATGCGTGTGTATGGTTACTATCGAGAATACAGTAAGGGGTGTGTGAAAGTTCGAATCATTCTGTAAATGTTATTTGTACTGTCAAATGAATCAAATACATAACTGATTTGACATTCATTTGATAAGCGGCTTTATGTCACTCTAGTGTTTATGACTGGCCATTGTAAATCCAGAGCTCTGACAGACTTATTTTGGTGCGATGGAAATGTTTGTGATAACCAACAGAGAGCACTGAACAGCTGTTTCGCCCTGTTTGGGACTCGTCAGCAGTGCGTATTATTTGTGTCCTGGAACCGCGATTCTTGGGGCTGGGACTTCAAACCCTCACCCTTGGGCCACACGGTCGATGGTTACCAGCTTGTGCGAATGACTTAAGTAACATTAACAGTGCCTGGTGCCCGTGAAAAACCGAATGAACTAATCTCAGACAGACTGTTTTTGAACGCTTCGGCTGTTGACAGTAAGTGATGCTTGACCTGCTTCGATCTCACTCCGGTGATCGTGCAGATGGACCTGAGCGCTTCACTCATTCAGACAAGATGTTCGGTTTCGACCAAATAAGCCGTGATCGCCGTCCCCTGATTCTCGTCAATCCGCGACTAAGCCAGCTAGGAAGGTGTTCTCGAATACGGATATTTCGAATATTTCATTGACAAATTTTTGGGTTAATAATTCGCCATTCGGCTGTCTGTTTGCCTTTTCTGTGGTGGTCCCGGTGGGCATGCATGTAAAACACAATCAGAATTCGTCCAAAATAGCTTTGTTATACTCAATATGTAACGGCACTTTTCTCACCAGGAACACATTGTATGGTTCAGATTTTTGTTACCTGGATAATTGGATTACAGGTGTTCAAGACGGCAACTCCAATTCGGGTCCTTTCAACATTTTTGAATCACTGGAATACGCAGTCTGTAAGCCGAATGATTTCTGTCCAAAAATGACTACAACTGATCCGGAATAACAAACAATCACATTGGACACAGTTATTTTGTACCATGATTTCTGATAGGCGAAGGGAATGACGTAAATATGCTACGCGCTGAATTTGCCTGTGCGAACCCCCCACGTTCTCCTGTGCAAATGACCCGCGCAAGTGCTCCGGTCACTGATGATTGTCCCGCGCACTGGATTCACCGTTCAATCAAAATTCAATTTGTAGTTCTGTCTGAGTAACGTTTCGTTGACAAGCCACATCTTGATTTCAATCAGACTCTGTGAATTCCACGATTTCCCGTTGGAAAATTTCATTATTGAGAATCAGTATTTTTCTTTTTGATACTGGTTCCATTTCTATCACATTGCTAAGATCCATATTTCACCCAATTATCGAATAAAAATACAGTTTACGAACGAACTGGCACAGATAATTCTGTCAGGGCCATGGATCTGTTGTCTTCTCCCCGGGGGGATTGCATCCAGAGTGGCCAGGCTTTTGAACAGCCACTGAGCCGGTCAGGGGACAGATTATGACAAAAGCAAGGCTTGTCAATGGAAATGTGGATTATTTTCAATTATCAACTTCCTTGATTTGTCATGGATTATACGTACTTATACGTACTTATTTAATTACAAACGATTGGAATTCTGTCTCCGATTGATCACTCCATGCGACTGCCCTGAGATTCCAAGTCACAGTATGTGCATTTATCGAGCATTTATCGTGCATTTATATGCGAGCAGATAAATTTATACTACCCATTAACTAAATTATGAATGTATTTATGAAAAATTGACATTGTTTATGCTAAATTGCACAACAGTAATTACTACATCTATTGCAGTTTGTCCGTTTATCACCGGGAATATAGTGAGCAGATCAGAATTGGATTGAATCAAACTGCATTGTACCATCACTGATTATCCAGTCGTTTATTGAGCAAATCATATTTTCCAGTGATCCAGGGGAACAGGGGAAAACATCTTCCTCGGAAATGGAAACACCTGTTGTACCATATATGCGATCGACTAATTCCCATGGGACCGTTTTGTCCCCAAATTAACTTGTTGCAATGTGTGTGAGCGTGTATTTCTCCAGTTGTCCTAGGGTTGAACCATGGCTTCTGACATTGTCCGATTGAATGTATTTTACAAAAACGGATTCAATTTTTCTGTTTAGCCTTAGGAATTCACTGGCCTTCATCTGTGAAACATATGGCTTACGCAAAGGTATTCTGAGAGCTACAGCTGTATTGTATTGTATTGTATTGTATTGTGTTAAACTTTTGCAGGCGCCGGAGCTCACATTTTAGTTAAAATATCATACAAGCTAACAGTCACAAAATACATATTCAAAGGGGAGAAACGTTTTACAGACATAGGGACATTTCACACTCCGAGGTTAAGACAATTTTCACCCATTGCCCTCTATTTGTTTGTGAGTAAACGAGCAAGGTACGGTATAGATGAATTTCGATCAGCGTTAACTTGAGGTAAAATTTGGCGGAATTGGGAGCTTGTGGAATGATGGGAACGTCAACGTGTCAGTTCTGCGTGCAATGGGTGAGATCCTCTCTGTAAATTTCAAACAGGAAGTTATGTGATACTCTGAAAGCTCTACAGTTAACTCATTAACACGAGTAGAAGATACGCGGGTAATAATGGTTAGACCGCGGCGTAAGGCTATGAAGTCCTGTTTGAGCAAGCCAGGAAAAGTAACTGGGGAACAGTAGAGTAAGATGGGGAAAACACACTGATAAAAGAAGGTAGAAATAACTGAGCGGGGTGGGCGAAACCGCTTCAACTTTCGAATTTGAAATGATAGACACCGCAGTTTACCAACGAATTTGTGGATGTTGGTTCACCAACGAAGATTGCAATCTATAGTTCTACCAAGATATTTGACAGAGTTCACCCTAGATAAAGGATTGTTAATAATCACTATGGGGTCTGTCGAATATGGAGAGCTAATAAAACTATATAAACACCAAACACTTTTACTAGGGTTTAAAGTCAACCCCGATGAGGAGGAGAATGACGGAATTTGTTCAAGATTTGTGGTGAAGGAGTTTAGATCGGAGTAAGTAATGGGTTGGCATAGCACGGTGTCGTCTGCGTAATTAAAAATAAGTGCAGCAGAAACGCAGGGAATATCACAAATATAAGTGGAAAATAAGTATGGGGATACAACAGCTCATTGAACAACTCCGGAGGTGTTAACTGAGGGTTTAGATGAAGCCATTCACAATCTAGTGGTTTGTACTCTATCAGTAAAATAGTTGAATATCCAAGCTAACAGCTGGTCGGGCATTCAAAAGATTCCAGTTTTTGTGGCAACTTAGATCGAAGAATTGAATCAAATGCTGAAGAGTAGTCTAGAGAAACACATCGAATAGACTTAACAGAGCTGTTTAGAGACTTGGTGATAAAATGAATGAGGGTGGAAAATGCATTTAAGGTGGATGTTTCAGGCTTGTAAGCAAACTGTAACGGATCACTGGGAATGTTTATAGACTGTGGAAGGCGTTCGAGGATAGACCTTTTTCAGTCAACTTAAGAGCTGAAGATGTTATTGCTATGGGTCGAAAACGTTTGGAGAGAATAGAAGATTTGGAAACTGATTGTGACCGGCCTCCAGCAACGGGGGGATAGTAGAAGTGTTGTGAGATTCATTTACAATGGTGGTGATTTTTCCAGCTGGAGAATCAGCACCGAATTTGAAGAAGGCCGATGGTAATTCATCCAAGCCTTCAGCAGAAGACGGATTGCAACTAGTTAAAAGTTTTAACACATCACAATATGAGAATGGTTCCACATTACAAACATCATGTGTCGAGTAAGCCGGAAGAATGCCCGATGGCTTGTGTTGGAATGCGGCATTGGGATCATCCACATTCACGTACAACTTCGGCCGTACTTTCTTCCTTACATAGAGAAGCTTGATGCCTTGCCACAGTTGTTTGCTGTTTCCAATCCTCAGAATTCGGTCGTTCAATCTATTTACTTCAGCTTTGATAAGCCTGGACAAATACATGACAGCTGAAGCATTGTAATGATGAAAATCGAAAACCTGCGTTGTCAATTCAAGAAATTTTGCGATATCCAGATTGATGTGTGCAGGAGACCAACAACAAGGTGATCAGTATTTACTTCCTTCCGACTCATTAAGCGGGATGGATATTTACTTATTTTGGTAGATAAAACGAAACTCATTGATAAACTTGGTCAGTATATAATAGTTCATCGTCTGCCGAATTGCTTGTTGGCAATCAAATTCAGTCATCCTCGTGCCTCGATCTGTTCGGTTTTCTACCTCTTAGTTCTTCTCTTGATGAGGCAATTAATTGGACTCATGTTCACACCAAATCACTTGAGCAAGCAAGGAACTGGGTCTCGAAGTGATGTCTCTCTAATTAGTGGCCTCTCTGTTCTCAACTACATGCTGAAATCCGCACACCTCAAGGTCAACTTTCGAAGGTCAACATCCATGTTTCATGTAATACAGTTTTATTTCTTTCGTATATTGCGAGAGTAGTTTGTAGCCAAATAATTTATCTATTTGGCAGTTTTGTAGACAAAGGTGTTGATTGTTGTTTTTGTATCTCGGGTGGTATAATTTGATGTTCATTTTTTCCGCCAAGCTCGGCGAATAACTGAACATCAATCTGTCTACTTATTTAGGCTAGATAATTGTCATTAATTGGCTTATTTACAGTGCACTGAATGAAAAGAGATAAGCTATTTAGAATACATGTGTATTCGACCTAGCAAATACTAAGAAAACAGGAATCAAGAGTTTGTTTCATAATTGGTCCCCAATTATCACTTGCTCCGATATTTCATGATAGATCACTTGTCGGCAATCCGACCATGGAAACTTGGGTGCTTGCACAAATTGTTCCTGTTCGGTCCCGTTTACAATGTGATTAGTATCCACAAGGTGTGACACGACCGCACTTGTGATTGACTTAATTGCTCCACTTCGCAACCACGCACGGTGATGCTCAAGGATGCGCTCGGACAGACGCCTGGTCGTGCGGCCAACATGCATTGCTCCACAGCAACAAGTGAAAGATTAAACACAGAAGGAGGCAGCAGAATCGGGCACTCTATCCTTCAACCGTAGATACACTACCGGGCTAGATGTAAATCGGGTTTGAAGCTTAGCCGCGTAGAACGTTTTGTTGATGGCATTTGATAATCTTCTGTGTACAATCTCTGCCAACGTGTCGTCTTTGAACGGCAAAGAAACCTACACAGACTTCTTCTCAGCAATACTCTCTTAGGAAACGCCTCTTGCCGTTGCATTACAGATTCCACCAAGCGCTCCGGGTATCCATTCTGGATAAAGATATTCCGCACATTTTGGAGTTCTTCAACCCACATGTCCTTCGTGCAAATTTCCCTAGCTCTGTTTACCAAACAAAGCATGAAATTCTTCTCCATATTGAGTGGTACAAAGCTACGGAAATGCATATACTGCCCGTTCCAAGTCGACTTCCTGTGTACTGACCGCCTGATGGATCCGTCATCACAGCGACTTTCAAATGCTGATGAGCAGCGTTTGTGTGCTCATTAACAATTTGTGCAAGCACTCAAGCTCCCATGGCCGAATTGCCGACAGGTGAACTATCATGAAATATCGGAGCAAGTTATAATTGGGGACCAATTACGAAACAAACTCTTGAATACTTTAATTACATTCCCCCTCTTTTTTCCTTGTAATTCCTTATCTGATACTATGGTCACATTTATTGTGTTGTAATAGCATGATCAATAAACAGTGAAAACGAGCTTGTTTGCCAATTTGCGTTCTCATTATGAGCTCCGTGGGACTGTTCAAACATTCTAAACAGGAGTGAATTTACCTGCCCGGTTCCTATAGAACATTTTCCAAATCTGGGCTGGAACTTTAGAACTACTGCAAATTTTATCGGTGCAGTGAAGCTCGAGCCAATTCAAACGATGATAGAACAGAACTAACAGCACAGAAGTGGGAGATAAAGTCGGGAATAAATGCATTTCACCAATTGGCATTATTACACACGCATGAAATTGGAAACTGAAATGCATTTCGAAATGGGAGTCTTGTTGCACGAGTTTTATCAACAAATTTATATCTTTTAGGACAGAATATTTCAAAAGGGTACCAAACTATGTGCGTAGTCAAAATACATTTAATAAAAAAATATACGCTCGACATAAGCCCAATTCAACAAACACATCGTTTTTCTCTATAAGTCATCAGGTTTGTCTGTAGTATAAGCGTACAATAAACTCCTTAGAGTGGTCGTCTCCACTTCCAGTTAGCTGTTTCAAAAGCGCTCGCTGTTCGGTGAACAAAAGCGAGCATCAAAATCATGCATACAAATTTATTTTGTAGAATGGTGAATTTTAAATATTGGATTCAGAACAAGATACAAACAAATGATCACTATCGGAAACATCCTTCCCCTCTGATCCATTTGAATAAAACAGGTAACACAATATGAGCAGAATTGATATTGGCCATTGAGAGCACGCGAAATTGATGGCCAATATATCAATTCTGCTCATATGTTGTTACTTATTTAACTCAAATAAGCTCTATCTACTCAAAGATGTAATTTGGAATCGGTATCTGCAGGTCAAACAACTTGCGTCGCAAGTGACTATTTACTCTCTCACAGAAGCATAAAAACCGGCAACCTAACGGACATTTCGCAGCACGTTCAGTTGAAACAATCTCACGCCAGATCACCCGACGGATGATCACGCAATTTTTAATTTAAAAAATACAAGGAGGATTGTTCTTCAAATTTGGTGCTAACCGAATAAGCAGAATCTAAATGTGTATCTTGCCAGTTAGTCTTTCCAGCGTTATGAGTAATATCGTCCGCAAACTTTGTTGTCACATTTTTCTCCTTGATTCCAAAAATGAAAAACCTGTTTGGTTTACGATCAAATATACTCGAACAGCAAAGTATAGAAAACCGGTCTGTTTCGATTGATTCTAAGTCCATGTGAAAACATAACCCAAACTTTCTCCAGTGAGGGATGATTAAAAATGATCTCACCTTCTGTAGAACGATAGTAGCTCGGGATGCAAAATGTGGATGTTTGTGCGTTTTCCCGCAATTCGAGGAGAACTCCCGCACGTGAACTTAAGAGCATCGGACAAGTTGTGTGCAAGTGATCATTCTGAAGTGTCTCCTGTCCGTAGCGTGTGAAAATTTTAACACTGCCTACGCTTCCCACCAGCTCAGTTACCACAAGGCCAACCCGATAGAACTTATCTATTCACATTCGAATCACTCATCCAAATTACAGAGGCATATGACATGCACGAGTTAGCATGTAAACTGACTGGTAGGAGAGATTTTCCTTTGAATTCACTGGAGTCCACCGAATGAACTTCTAGGGTAAACGTTTTATCATCAGCCGGGGTGACATCGTTAGTGCCTGGAAGCGGCAGTGCATTTCTCGTACTCGTTAGTTTAAATAGATTTTCCTCTCTTTGAACTACTTTTGTCTCTTGTTCTCATTGCGTTTATCCCGGTTCGTCGTTGAACTGGGGTGACCCCAATGTAATAAATGCAATCTCTTGCCAGATAAACCAACATTACAGAATGATCAGAATTTGAAATGAGGAACAAAACTTCATGGTTCACAGAAAGAAAGATTACAGCATTAGATAAATATTGATTACTTCGCCCTGACTTTTAGAAAAAAGACTGCTTTGACTTAAAATACTTCTCTCTTTTCACAATCGAAAATTTGTGGCGAATGAAACTATGGAGGATGTACCTTATGTAGGACGACGAGACTGCACCTTGACGTGGTCTGATGGCTTGCGTGCCTACAGATCCTGCTAGCTGTACTGGATGGCTTTTCGCAGCCGTAGATCCAATGATGCCTGAAAGTTCAACGGGCAGAGGCCAGACAAAGCTCATGCTCACAAAGCCAGCTGCTTGGACACCTCCTGGCTTCTTTCTTCTATCCACACCCGCCCATGGAGAGATTACTCCAACAAAAAGCCATGATGAGGGGTAGTTTACCGGTCAAAAGACCCCGCTAGATGGACTTACTAGCGGGAAACCTGGGGCTTCCTGTCGACGGTGGGAGAAATCTTTGCACTTCATTAGACGGCCACCGCCCGCCCAAGCTGGTCAGCCCCTAGCCAATAAGGTGCTGTCCCGTCCACGTTCCGATTGTTTCATTGGGTGCATGAGAATAAGGGCCAATCCCGAACAGCGGGCCGATAATCAACGCACCAGCGAACAACACACTGAACCGAAAACCGGAAGCCTTGTGTGACAGGTCTCCAGAATCTCCCACACGGGTCCTTCGGTCACGCTCCCTCGTTAGATTCACGCCCATAAGGCTCTGGTTAGGGTTCCCAAGGAAAACAACTTTCTTCTATTTGGGCTGCCGCGAAGTATATCGCGCCTTAACGTCACTCGTTTGGGGGGGGGGGGAA